GATAATTATTTTCATTAAGGAATCTTATGTATTTTTTGTTAAAACTAATATCTTCTTAACTATATACTTGGTACATTCAATTTATGTTTAAGAGGCGATGTCTGACTTTGATATAGAAGATTGTGGTTAATATTGTTTTTTCAATAAATTGTAATGTGGGATGTTTTTTGTTTTTGTCTGGTCAAATTTGAAAGAAAAAGTGTTATTATTTTTTTTGGTTTGCGGTTCTATTTTAATTATGTTCTTTTTCTTCTTGTTGTCTTGATTTTTAATTGTGTAGGATTTAACTCTCGAGGATTTTCTAATTGTCCTTTGACTCAGCACCATTTATGACTTGTGTACTTTGTTGATTTTCTAATTGTCTTTTGACCCAACACCATTTATGACTTGTGTATTTTGTTTTTCATTTTATTTTATGTAGAAATATATCAATGAAAATGAGGAAATGATGATGTAGAGGATTATGTATTTAAGTGGGCTATGTGAATAATGAATTTCAAGAGGACACTGTTGATGACGATTTCCCGAGGACAACGTAGATGACAAAGAGTTCTAAGACAAAGATGAATGAGTTGGATGGTTTTTTAGGCTTGTATCAATCATTAAACTTTCAAAAAGTTATATCTTTTATTCAATAATGTTAATCATTTTTTTTACAAATATGTAATATTTGAATTAATGTATGAATTCAACTTTGTTAATACAATTTTTATACCATATCTAATTATTGGGTTTTAATTGATTATATTTACTAAATCAAAAACTGTAAATATTATGTTCTATATATATAGAAGTTAAAAAAAACATTGTTTAAATTTTAGCTTATACATAATTGTATTATATTTACATAATACAAAAATAGGAGAAAAAAAAAGAAATATATAATTTTAGGGAACAATTTGTGATTGGCCCTATATATAGCAACATTTATAAAACATTGTCTTAGATTTCAAAGAAAAACGTCCCCTATTCTTGTATTTTAGGCTACGCATACTAATACTGTGCCCAAAGAGAAAAAGAGCGTTGCCTCGGATAATTGGCAACAATTTTGAACTGTTATAAGAGACAATAAATAGTAGTGATAATATGGATGACATAGGTAATTTTTTTTCAAATGACCAAAATTTTTAATTTTAATACCCAACTAATCAATCTTTTCCCATAATTTCTAATCTAATGTTTCCAACAAAAATGGATTAAAGAGGAGACGCCACTTAAATTAGCGCTTCCTATTTTTTTTTTTTACTTTTTCCAAATATCTGCAGGTTTACCTGCGAGTTTGACATTACCTGCATATTTACTTGCGGATTTACCTGCGTGTGTTCTTCGTAGGTAAATCTGCAGGCAAGAAAATTTGCAGATAACTCCAAATTCCCAGGTAAATCCGCAGGTAACTTGAAAAAGTAAAACAAAATATAGGAGACACCAATTCAAGTGGCGACTCCTCTTTAATCCTTTTTTTTTTGTTTGAAACATAGTTAGATTAGAAATTATAGGGAAATATAAGTTAGTTGGGTATTAAAATGGAAAATTTTTGTTATTTGAAAAAAATTATGATTGATAGTCTCATAATTGTTGAATATTTATATTGATATTTGAATTTTTAATTTTCAAATTTTAATTTTTGATTTTTTGAAACACAAATTTGAATATTATATTAAAATATGAAACTGAAATGTTACTGAAAATTAATCACTATTTCTACATATGCATAGCTTTTGCTTCCAAACTACCTAGCTTGACAGTGTCTCAACCTTGACTAGTCTTGTTTCATATATTCAACCTAAACAATATAACCTTATCGGAAAATATATAGGAAATGGAACATAATTGTTGTAGTATATTACCACAGTTCTTGCACTTAAATGAAACAGATAAATTCCTATGAGTTTGTCATAGAATGTACTAAGAACTTTGTAGTAAATACTACATATGATCGAATGAAGGAAAACAAATAAATTTCACATTAACTTAAATATTTAGACCAACCTCAACTTTTGAAATGCCCAAATAAATGTGGCTTAAGCTTACCATAAATTTCATGGTACATTCCATGATTCCCATGTAGTTAATTAATATAAAAGGCCATTTCATGAATCATATTAATATATCTAAAGAAAAGATAATTTTTTGTATTAGCATATAGAATGAGTTCAGGAACAACTAGTTTGAGTTATTCAAAACCTCTTTCAAAAAAGAAGGATTCCAATAATGTTACGGAAAATCAAACTTCAAAACAGATGAGAGAAGGATTGGCTTACAACACCGGTGGTCCTCATCTTGTAGCAAACACCAATTCTAAAAAAAGTCAGACAATAAATGCTCCAAATATGTCTTATGGTAGCAATTAAAATGAAAATTGAAAAATCTATATGAAGAACATCAATGTTGGTAAGAAAATCAAAGGCATATATTTATTTTGGAGGATGTTGTTGCGTTGACGGGGGGGCTTGTTTTCATGTAAATCTTGCCTAGGTCTTTTAGTGTTCTCTTTATTATTGTGTTTATTTCTCAAAAATGTTTTTCTTTGGTGGACTTTTATTGTACTTTTGACAAATTGTTTAATACATGTGTTTTTTGTATTCTTTGTCTCTTCTAACATTTGCACATACTCTCATATATAGACACAAAATCAAATATAGAAAAGAAGAGATAAACATATCCTTCAAATACAATAAGACATTACTTTCTCACAAGACTCATGACATGCACATTTTCATGAAATGCTTCTGATGAGATGGGCTACAATGAGCAAAGTTACATGTAAACAACACTAACAATGAGCATAACAAAATTAGTACTTGCAAAAAACGTAAAGTATATATATTAGGAATGGCAATTGGATCTATTAATAAAAATTTCATCCAATATATTTATTAAAAAATGTTCATCATAAAAATTAAGTTAATGGATGTCGCGGCGCGAAAAATAATCAAACATATCGCATGCTCGAAATACAATAGAGTCATCACTAAATTTTATTTATTTCAAAAGAAAGTGGAAAATATCGTTAAAATCCATGAAAGAATAGAAAATTATCGTTGCAACCAAGAGCGAATTCGGGAGTCTGTTATGCAGGGAAAATATATTAGCACCCCTCATATCAATTGTACTCAACGGGACACATTTAATTAATTTTCTGATCTTCTAATTGCTATGCGAGAAAGAAAGAAAGTGTTTTTTTGGGGTTTTTTATTATTATTCTCGCAAAGATTTCAAAGTCATGTGTCTACATATTCTTAGGCGCAATAGAAAAATCATAGTTTCATAGTTTTTGGTGGAAGATATTTGTGTGTTGGTTTAATTTAATGAACAATGTTAGGGTTGCATTCTAGCGGTAAATATTTGTATGCCCTCGCTGGGGGGTGGGGGTTGCTTAAGCGTTTGTATCGCGGTATAATGGATAAACATGTTCTTTGTGAAAAGGTTTTCGGAGTCGCGCGGGGGGAGAAGAAGATAGTTTGATTGATTGACTTTGCTTGTAGAAGATAAAAGTGTCAAATGACCAAGTTATACAACTTGTATTCAAACACTTGAGAAAAAGGTGGGACATACGTCCATCTTGATTGTTTATCCGTTTAATGAGAAAAAAAATGAGAAGAATTTAGTCACAACATCTTAACAAAAGATGAGTATCAAATGACCAAGCTATACAACTTGTATTAAGATACCCGAGGAAAAGGTTTGACATACGTCCATCTCGTCCATTTACCGCTTAATGAGTTGAACTAAACTCGTTTAATTATTTTATTTTAAAGGGATCGTGGATATTTGAATGTCCAAGTTATACTACTTTCATCTAAAAATTCATGGAAAAGGTACGACATACGTCCATCTCGTCACTACAACAAATAACATTTTTGATGAAGAAACTTTCACGTCATCCTAAAAAAATCGAGGTTTTATTCCATGGCGCGCCATATTTTATTTTTCTTTGGTAAAAAAACAACTTGAAAAACGACGTGTAATACCATTTTGGACATGTGAATTTTGGTTGCATAAAGTAAGTTTCCTTGTCCATGTGATTTTTAGTGGTGGAATTATTGTGGATCCTTCTAAAGTTGATGCGGTGTTGCAATAGAAGACTCTGAAGTTTGTTACTGAGATTCGAAGTTTTCTTGGTTTAGCAGGTTATTATCGAAGGTCAATTGAAGGATTTTCTACTACTTAAAATAAATAATTTTCTGCTAAAATAAACATTTAAGAACACAAACCTTAAACCCAAATAATTTTTTTCACTTGCAATCCATCACATAGAACTATTCATGGAAAATACTCTTTCAAACCTTAAACTCTTCGTGATATTGGATTTTTCTTGCATTTGTTTCTGATATGAACAAAAAAAGGGTTACGCACTACAACATTTAGCCTCTCCAACAACAATTGAAAAGTGTTGCCAGAACTCTGAAAATCGTTGCCTAAACAAATAGGGGACGTTTTCTAGGAGTCTCCTGTGCGAGCGTTGCCTATTGTTTGAGGCGACATTTTTTTAATGTTTTTTGGACAGGCTTTTGAAAAACATCGCCTATAGAAAAGGAATAGGGGACGATTATTTGCGGCCTCTGAGACGACGTTTTTTAAGCGTCGCCAAATTCGGCTACAATTAAGAATCGTTGCCTTAAACCTGAATCAGGAAGATCGTTTTTGAAGTGTAACCATAGCTTATAGGTTGTTGTTTTATAGTGTCCACATAAAATATACAATTTTGCAATTATTATCAAAATAATATAGTCAATAATAATTGGCTTCAAAAATAATATTGATTATATAACTTAAACCATACATCTATAAAAGTTGTAATATAATAAAATCGAGTTCAAACTTTAATTCAAGATATAGTATATAGAGTACACAAAATGCCTAACGTAACATTACTTTTAATACTTTGTAGTATGACCTTAGTAAAATAACTAAAAACATAGTTCAACAAAAGAACAAAAATCATATTTCAAGTTTAATGCTTTCAACTACAAGCCAAAAAAAAGACATCATCCATCTCACTAAAGTTTGTCTTCTAGGAGTAAATCATTCAGATCGTCCTCTTGAAATTCGTTAGATATGTCATCATCCATAAATTCTTCATCTACGTCGTCCTCTTGAAATTCATCATCTATATCGTCCTCTTGAAATTCATCATCTAGATCTATGTCGTCCTCTTGAAATTCGTCATCTACGTCGTCCTCTTGAATTTTATCATTTAGGCTGTCCTCTTGAATTTTATCATTTATGTCGTCCTCTTGAATTTCATCATTTATATCGTCCTTTTCAACATCTTCATTGATACATTACTGCATAAGAAAATAAAATAAAATACATCAACCATAAATATTTTTGGTCCAAAGGACAATTAAGACATCAACAAGAATTAAACCTCGCACAAATAAAAACTAAACCAATGAGCAAAACACATTGTTTATATTCTTCACATCTCATGTCATGGGTGGCCTTTATATTACTTTACTTATCTTCTCATACCAGGAATATTCATAAAAAATACTCAATGTTTTACTTTAAGTCTATATGTCTAAAGTTGAAAATTTAGATTTTTCTCTTTTGCATATAACAAATCTTAAACAGTTTCAGCCACTTCTAGGTGTTGTCACTACTTAAACAATTTCAACCACTTACTTTATTCTAGGTGTTGTCACTACTTGCAAATTTTTGCACACATTAACAACCATTTTGATACTATAACATAATTAGAAAAATATAAATCAATAATATTGGTATATATGGTTACCTTTCCATGACATGGAGCATGAGTTGATGTAGATGAATGCATTTGCGGTCTTATATCCTTTGGGGAACTATTAGCATCTCCATGAGATAATCCTAACAAATCTTCAATTGACTCTATATGAATTTGAGGATTGCATTATTGTATTACAGTCTTAAAAGCATTTTGCAATCTATCAATCTTATCTTGAAACTCGTCCCTTAATGTAGAGACCTCTTCACTGTAGGCTTGTTTCAAAGCATTAATCTCTGCCTTTCTCTTTAAGGAAGTTTTAGTTATATAGAACAAGGACACAAAATCTCTTCTTCTTCAACCATTCCTTTGGTGAATGCAATATCCAAAAAGTAATTTACACAGTCCTTATAACTTTGAGTGTGTGGAGGTAACTCCACCCAGTCGTCCTTTATCATGTTTGGTTTTCTAAAATGAAATAAATTATACATTACTCTTTATCATATAAAGGATGGAAAAATACCATGGTTCATATATCAACATAGCTTTTACAAATGCATAGTTATTATAAAAATTTCATTTATAATCTAAATATACACTAAACATGCATTCCAATACCAAACATAGAATAAATTGGTGAACTTTTAATCTAAACATGCATTACAAACATAAAATAAATGAGCTAAACTATTTTACATATGTTACTTCATGGAAGAGATAGTTTAAGGTTGTCTTTGTCTATATCCATTGGATGATGTGTTTTACATGTGTTTCTTTGGATTCATGTGTTTTGCCCTTACCAATAAGTCTAACTAGCTGTGACTTTGAATTAATAATATATACAAGTAATTGATCTTATCAAGTGAAATTAGAGATATTACTTGCTTTCAAACTACAACTTGATAAGGTATGATTCCTTATGATAAAATGATGAGAAGTTTTAGCATAAACATGAGTAGGAAAACACAGGGCTATTGCATGAGGGGTGTGTGTTAAGATTTAAAAACAAGAACAATTAATTTATATTCTAATCATGAACAAACATTTCATAGTCTAATATAATATGTATATGTTGTTTCTTTTCAAACTAATCTACAGTGCAGAAAGCATTGGAATGTCTGGGTTCTGTTACCTTAATTCTTTCAACTTGATTACAGCAGTAATAGAAACTAAAATCTTGTCCTTAGTTAAAAGCGACTTCGATTTCAACACAACTTCCTTCACTGCAACAACAACAACAAAGCTAGTAAATAAAACGGAGACGTTTCTTTCCCAAACAATGTTGAAACCGATGAAATATCTATTGAGGTTTAATCGAAACAACGGCGGTGAATGATCTAAAGACAAATAATTAGAAAATGAAAAAATGAAACGCAAATTTAATAAATAGTAAAAGAGATGAAATGGAATACGTCACCTTTAGAAGAAAGGACGGTGATGTCGATGGATTCAAAAGTGGCATAACGAACTTGGTTAGACTGAGCAGATGCGAGTTACAATGCGGGAATGGGGAAAGACGCAGGAGAACCTTCACATCACACAACATTGATATAATCACATGGTTAACTCACCCTCAAGTAATTAAAATAACATTATACTTATATTTGAAAGGAACTAAAAATTTTGTTTGTAGTAAACTAAAGAAAAGAAAAGAAACATATAAAGTACATGTGGATTTTAACATGAATTAATGGTATTCCAATTACAAACTTATTAAACAAAATTGAACAAAGAACCAATACTGTAATAGTTATCTAATAAAGTGCCACCAAGGAATAATATAGGTATTTACTCATGCAAAACTTAAAGAATAGAAAGTAATTTATCTAACTAATCATATAAAATTTAAAGGAATAGAATACCACCATGAATAAAACATACTGAGAGTTTCTTAAACTGTAAGAAAATGTCACCGTGAATCCTAACAAAAAAATAAATCTAACATATGCATCGCGAAGACCCTTAAAACCTCTACCTATCAAGCTGAGTTTTAATCTAGAAGACAAGAAAAGACGAGATCTCCTAAAGGAATTCATATGAATTTGAGCACAAACAAACTTCATGCTAACAAAACAATGAGCATCGCTAACAGCAAAATCGATTCTAAAACAATTCGTCTTTATCAACCTGATTCAGAACAAAATTTAAAGGAGAGTTCTCCTGTTGCTAATACATACACAATTATACTGTCCAAACTAAACAACACCAAACCGTAAAACACCGTACAACAACACACATGAACACCTTAACAGTGTCAATTCAAAAGAAACTAAGCTAACATTGCGTGAACCGCATCATGCACGTAATAAAGTATCAACCAAAACAGAATGCAAGTAAATTGTGTGAAAAGTTAACATGAAGGGAACAACTAAATATAACTAGAATATATGAATATAAATGACAAAAAATCATCTTTATAAACTGTCTTTGAAAGATAGAGTTGACTCATCCCAAATTATAAACATTGTGTGGTCTTATCCGTGCTAAATAACTAATGAAGTTCAACTTCCAATCCAATTGAACAACCACATGTGAAATGTACACAATTATGAGTTAGAAAGATCAAGATCAAAATAAGAAACCTACTTGTAGATCAGAAAACAAACATTAACGTGGGAGTGGCACTTGGCAGTATGCTGCAAAAGTTAATGCAATTTATACAGTTACTTTTTAATAAAACTTATTTACATTGCTAGTACCTTCTGAATGTACATGATAAAGACAAAAATGTTAATTAAGATTCAATCATAAATAATACAGATAACTATATATAATCTGAGTAAAAATACAGTAGATAGCTGAATTCTGATTGAATGTCTTTTATAATGCTCTTGCATATATTTGTCTATATTCAGAAGATAGTACCTCGAGAAAACTCATAAAATCTCACTGTTGTCAACTTCTTATATCAACAACAAATATGAAAATGCCCACACAAACTCAAACAACCATCAAAACACTCAGATTCAACTCAAACACAACGATACAAAACGGCGATCGAAATATAAATGTAGAAATACATACAGACACACCAACATACACCCACGTCAGAAAAACATAATCAATAGCAAATTAACATCCATTCATTGAACCTTCTCACCAACATAAACCAACAACGATAAACTGTATTGAAATAAAATGAAGAGAAGTTACCAATAATGCAATTTTGAGCACGTCGTGTTGTTATGTTGTTGCTGAAGGTGTTGAGCATTGTTGCGGATCAGAAATGGCGATGTATATAAGTTTAAAGCGGTGGGATGTGGTACGGTAGATCTAGCGTGGGTTTTTGGAATCGAGCGGACGACGAATGAAGGCATTTGGACGGAGTGACGAACAACACGACGGAGGGTGTGGACGAAAGTTGTTTGAGTTGGAGCGGATGAAGGACTTGGACTTGGAGCGTGTGAGAGCGGTACTGTTAGGTTCGGCGGCGGAATGTGTGAAAAAGGAGATCGAAGCTTTTGTTTTCCTTTTCTGTTTTTTTTTCTTTTTTCTATTTTCTATTTTTTTTACTAAGACGTGGCCAATTGAGAGGAGTAATGAAAATTATAGTTTGACTTAATTTTTTTGTTAAGTGTGGATACAACATGTAATAAGATTTTATAATTTTGTGTTTTTTATTAAGTCCATGTGGATAAATACATGCTTATAATCAAATATTATTTTATAATTATGTGTTAAATTTTTTTTAATATATATATATATATATATATATATATATATATATATATATATATATATATATATATATATATATATATATATAATAATGTTTAGAGAAAAATATTTGTTTTTTAGTGTATAAGTTTTGGAGGGAAGATTGCCACCAAAAATTCGATAATGCTAAAAAAATTTATACAACATTTCAGAAATGTAGCCTTTTATTAGAACTAATGTAACAATCTAAAAATGTCCCCAAAAATATTTTAGGGGAAAATTGTCAAACATTGCTAAAGAAATAATATTTTAACGCTCTAAAATCGTCCCCAAAAGCAGTTAAGGGCACAATTAACAATCGTTGGCAAAAAAATAAAAGAGTATCGCTCCATAAACATCCCCAAAAGTATTTTAGGCGACGATTATCAAGGGTTGCAAACATATTTTTGACAACAATCGTAAATCGTTGCCTATATGAATTTAAGGCAACAATTTTTACATGTTACCTAAAAAAGCGTTGCCAGAGACAACAAATGTTGTAGTGACGCAAAAAAGGGTTAGATAAATAAATGATTTTATGCTCAAATAAATATTTAAGAACACAAACCTTAAACCATAGAGAACTCTTCATGACAAAGACTCTTGCAAATCTTAAATTTGAGCACTAATGATAATATCTTGGTAGTTTCAGAATTCTTTTATAATGAAAGTAGTTTATGTTTCACGCGGATCACTAATGATAATGTCTTGATTGTTGATAGTCATGAAATGGATGACAAGGATTTGATTAAGGATTTGATAAATATCTCAATTTTTACACTAAATGTTATCTTGATTTTTAGGATAACCGACGGGTTAGAGAATTTAATTTACAATTAAAAACTAGAATTAAATTAGAGGTTCCGATTTTAGCTTTTAATTTTAACGCTAAAATATTCCCTTGATTTTTATGGAAAACCGACAGATTAGAACTTTTATATTACCAATAAAAAATACAATTAAAACAGAGGTTAGAACACCAACGTGGCACGCTTGCATTGGAATAATATCACTTATCTAGAATAGAAATGATCATCTATAATCAAGTCGTAACGTCTCTTTTGGATTATCAAGGAGGCTTTTGGGTTATTTAAACGTCTAATTAGCAGCTCGTTGGGTCTTCAAACATTGTTTAAAAATATTTTCCTATTATTAATGTCCCATTACCAATTCTCAGTGTCTTGTTTTTTTTTTATTTCAAAGTCATTATTTTCTTATCATAAATGGATGCAAATTTTTTGTTTGTTATCAATGAAAAGTATGTTGATTTCAATGATTTCTATCATTTTCAACTAAGACAAGTTGCTAACAGACAAAGATTGAATGGTTACTTTCACATTCTTAACGGTCCCGTATACACTAA